ATTTTCAGCTTCCTTGGGCACAAGTGCAGCGGCACAGACCTGCCCGCACCTAAACAACCTGGGCTGAGACTCTGCTGATCTACCTTTGCGTGTGTGGGGTGTAGGTATTGATGTCTGATCTGGTCAGCCAGAAAGAGCTGCTTTTAGGGCACAGTTCATCAGATCTATCCTAGACAGAAGTCTGCTTTGCAGTAAGTCACCCCCAAAGGGACTACACAGGGAGCTTGCAGCAACTAGGTCAGACAAGGCATATGCGGGTGAAGCCCAGCAGGCACCAAGCCTGTGGTCAGCCTTTCAGCTGGAGCCTTGCAAAGAGCCTGTTGTGGTTGGGGATCTCAGAAAGCTGAGCACCTGGGGCATGTGCAATATATAGTTGTGGCTGCCAGCTGTTAAAATATTATTTCCATTATGGTGTTGCAATTTGAGTCTCCTAAAATAACTTAGCTGCTAGATTCTTTGCTCAAGAGAAGGAGGATTGTTCCTCTTGTCTGACCCCACTTCTCTGAGGGGTTCCAAGCCTCATCTCCTGCTCCTAGTGAGCAGTCATGAAGTGCAGCCTCCTGGGCAGACGTATTCCATCTCTGCAGCTGAAACTGTTCTCCTGTGTAGGTCTCTTGGAGACCATGAACAAATATGGTATCAGTACTTCTACACTGCTTGATATAAATTAAGTTATATGACCAGAAGCTGAGACTTCTGATGTTTACTGCAAGTGCTATTTTTAATACCAACATGAAAGCAGAGCATTTATGCACTAGAAGTACGTTCACTTTGGAGAACACAGAAACTACTGGGCGAACTAGACCCAGTCAGGAAAAGTGACCTGTGCTCTTTCATAATCACTCTTGAAACTTTCAGAGTAAGGTTAATCCGAAGGTCTCAAAGCACTTCAGAGATGTGTAATAGGTGGAGACACAGCAATCAAAAGCTGTGGCCGAACTCACACTGATTTTTGTAGGCTTTGGATAAAATTAATGTGCAACGTGTAACAGGCAGCTGGAGGTCAGGGACTGTTGTCCCCAGCCATTCTGCTTGAACTACCAAGTGCCTTTCTTCGTCTTCTAGTCTCAGCTTATCAGTGTCATCACTCTAAAATAAATAGCACCAAAGTTCACACCTTGTAACTATACGCACAGAGACTAACAGCTGTTGAAGATTAGAGAGGCTGTTCCCTTCAGCTAGTCTGACCCTCTACAGCACACAGCAGCCATTCTTGACTTCTGAAGTCTTCAAATGATGGAAAGGCCTCACAGTCTTAGCTAGCTGTTTCAATAATTAAATGCTTTTATTGTCTAGAGCCTGAACTTAATCCTTCCTCTCAGTCCATCTAGTGGCAGTTTTCAACACTGAATCTGTGTTCTCAAAGACAGTTCAGAATGAAAAAAAGCACAAAAGCTGGTTTAGCAACTAGATAAGGTTTCTAACACTTGAAGCTTTACTGCACAGCATGAGTACTATACTCTGTATTTTATGAAACAATATATGTTCATTTGACATATATTCAAAGTATTTTTTCATATATTGTTCCATACAATATTCAGTCAATGTACAGCTAGATCAGTCAGTTCTGTCTTGTCTGCCTTTGCTCTACCAAAGCCAGGCCAAAGGAATGACTGGCTGTGTTTCAGCTCACTGAGACCTGAATTCGTTATTGTTTCCTTCACAGGGAGGACAGTCCATATTAGTAGGGGCGACTGATAGGAAAATTGTACTGCTTTTGCATAAAGCTGATGTTCCAATAAAGTTTTGTTATTCCTTGATTTTGTAGATCCAAAGCAAGGAAAGTAGTTTTGTGCATGGCCAAAATAAAATCTTATAGTGAAGATTCAGGATAAAGAATTAGTTGGAGCTGGAGATCAGCATTGCACATATTGAAGCAACAGTGTAAGGAAGGATGTAGTTGTGCTTTATGGTCAGCACACTTGTTTCCCCATGCAGCAAGTTGCATGGGACTCCCCAGATGCCTTACCTTGCCTGAACCTACCCCATAAAAGGCTGAGTACCCCAGCAGACCTCAACTGGACGTAGGCATCCTGGGCAGTGTTAGCTCTTAGATCTGTCAGCTCTTAGATCCCTGGTGCCTCTCTGTAGAGCTGTCAGTTGTTCAGAGGTTAGAGTATATGAGCATTACTATGGCGGTAGTTGCTTTTCACCGAGCTGATGGCCAGCTGTGGGAGACTAAGGCACCAGCAGTGCTGGCCATGACAATGTGTTTGCATACGTGGAAGCTCAGAGCATGCAGTGATGCTGTGTTACACTACTGTTGGGTGGTGGTTTTTGTTTTTTCCTGAGAAGGAAGGAAAGAAGTTTGTGCAGCTCAGCAGCAGGAACAGTAGTAAAGAAAGATGAGTTTTCATCTATCTCTTTCCAGGTTTCCTGGCTGAAACTACAGCCTGTCTCTGCCTCCTCTTAAAAAAAAGGTAATTCTCTCTTAATCACAAGAGTAGAATGAGAGGAATCAAGGAAGCAGAGTGGCTTCCTAGAGAAATTCCCAGGAAAATAAATACAAAAGCCTGTGTGTCTTCTTGTCATGAAAACAATGCAGTTAGCTTCTTCAGGTAATGAAGATTTAACATTTGTAGGTGCCAGGTATGCCTGTGGGTCACTTGGTGTCAGAGTGATAGAAAGATCAGAGTTACAGCAGTACTACCAGTTACCACAGAATTTCTCTGTATCATTAGAAAACAACCTGCATAGAAATCAAATATTTCATATTTACAGCAAACGAAGGCAAACAATGGTGGGGTGGAGCTCTGAACGTGTGGCTAGCCCCGTTGGTGCTGGAGGGTCAAACAGCACTATAACAACCGCCACAGACACAGTGAACTGGTAACATGCTCAGGAGG